GAACTTCGATTGGCACTGTCACTGTGAAGAAAGTAAACGATGACCAAGCTGACGAGGAACTATGTGTAGTTGCGGAAGTCGAATAGTTAGTTGTTTTTGCCAATTATCTTCATAAAGTTCATTCAAAAAGGGTAAATAGTTCAATGTTTTTCATCAATAAGCAGACACGAGGTTGTTAATATAGAATTTATTAGAACACAATTGCTGACATTTCGGCGGTTTCGCCTTCTTCAGAGCCTGGAAAGGTCAAATTGAGATGTGATCTACTCAGCCAAACACTTTCATAACCCCAGCAGATAAAACTTGACAAATCGATTTGCATTCGCATAAGAAACAGCTTCATTCAAACACCTACCGTTTATTTGTTGTAAGTATTTAAGTTAGTTGGTAGATAGCCGCCGCACAGAGTAATACATGGTCGATAACTGTGTCCATGTCAGGTCATTGGATCAGCCTGAGGTATGGCGCCAGGTCACGCGTGATGACAAGACACTCCTCCTTGCGGTTCATTTTTGAATTTTTGGCATTGATCCAAAACGCTTCAAGAGTTTTACGCGCTGATGTTTTTGATTCCTGCGTAAGGATAGTGACTCCTACCTCAAAATCTTCTCCGTTGTGTTCTTGCATCCTATGCGCGCCTAGTGGAGTATTTTGTTTTAGTTTAGATTTACCGACTAGGTGTTCTTTTATGCGGACGCAGAGCGGTCTACCCGTTTCGCCAACATATTCGTGCCCGCACGCTTTACANGCTGACGTTTCGGCGGTTTCGCCTTCTTCAGAGCCTGGAAAGGTCAAATTGAGATGTGATCTACTCAGCCAAACACTTTCATAACCCCAGCAGATAAAACTTGACAAATCGATTTGCATTCGCATAAGAAACAGCTTCATTCAAACACCTACCGTTTATTTGTTGTAAGTATTTAAGTTAGTTGGTAGATAGCCGCCGCACAGAGTAATACATGGTCGATAACTGTGTCCATGTCAGGTCATTGGATCAGCCTGAGGTATGGCGCCAGGTCACGCGTGATGACAAGACACTCCTCCTTGCGGTTCATTTTTGAATTTTTGGCATTGATCCAAAACGCTTCAAGAGTTTTACGCGCTGATGTTTTTGATTCCTGCGTAAGGATAGTGACTCCTACCTCAAAATCTTCTCCGTTGTGTTCTTGCATCCTATGCGCGCCTAGTGGAGTATTTTGTTTTAGTTTAGATTTACCGACTAGGTGTTCTTTTATGCGGACGCAGAGCGGTCTACCCGTTTCGCCAACATATTCGTGCCCGCACGCTTTACAAGAGATCAGATAGACTGTACCCGAACTCATGCAATCACCGTCTCTACCATTTGGGCAAATTATGCAGTTTTTTGTTGTACATAGACGGTCGTACAGGCGGTTGCGAACTAGATGGTGTCTTAGAGTGTCCGGTGGTATTTCTATCATTCTTACGGAATTCTCTAGACCGGCCCTTATTAAGCAGCGTTTTATAGCTGCACTTATTTCGTTTGAAATAAAGGGGAACAGGAACGGAGCCTTGTTTTCGCTAGAATTATCGCTCTGAGGCGTGGGATTTCCTCGATGCCTATCCTGAGAAGCTACAGTTTCGTAACCATTTGAAATGGCTATTTGCCGCGCCAGTTTCGAGGATTCTTCCCTCTGCTTCCTCCGATTGATATATCACTGACCTAGCGCCATACCTCAGGCTGATCCAGTGACCTGACATGGACACAGTTATCGCCCATGTATTACCCTGTGCGGCGGCTGTCCATCAACTAACTTAAATACTTACAACAAATAAACGGTATGTGTTTGAATGAAGCTGTTTCTTATGCGAATGAAATCGATTTGTCAAGTTTTATCTGCTGGGGTTATGAAAGTGTTTGGCTGAGTAGATCACATCTCAATTTGACCTTTCCAGGCTCTGAAGAAGGCGAAACCGCCGAAACGTCAGCAATTGTGTTCTAATAAATTCTATATTAACAACCTCGTGTCTGCTTATTGATGAAAAACATTGAATTATCAAGTTAACAGAAAGTCGGTCTTGGGAGGGTAAATAGTTTTTTAACAATATTTCCAAGATGTGAAATTGGCGCCGGATGCTTCTGTTTAAGCCGGTTTTAACGAGTATTGAAAGTATTGGAGAGCACCTATCTCACCTGTTGCCCTTTGATCGTAAAATAACGTGTGTGGGCGCTAACATATTTTCTCCTCCATTCAGTAGGAAGGTTATAACAGGTTACGTGTTACGTGCTAGTGTGTTTATGAGGGCTGGCGGAAGGTTCTTCAGATGTCCAGATTTTATCCTGTCCTATCTGAACTTTTTTGCCCGGACAGGACAGGATGAAATCGTTGTTCGTCTTTTCTTCATCTTTTGTCATCTTTTTTGTCCGGAAGTTTGCTCCTCTCTTCACCGACGAAATAGGGTGTCGGGTTTCTGAAAGGAGAACCGGTGGTACAACAAATCCATCCTGCTTTATTTCACATGAAGGAAAAGAACGTGGCTATTGAAGAAATCTCAGTAGTATTCGCGAATAATTTTCTTCATTGCCTTTCTACTGATCCGTCAGGACTTCGAAGTGCAATCATCTTTGTTTTGTAGTTCGCGAATCTTTGGTGGGCTTTGCGAATGCTTTCCCCAGCCTCTGCAGCTTCGAGCATTATTGCTGCTCTTCTCTCTTTATGATCTTCTTTTATCTCGTTTGTAGACGACAGACAGTGAGTAGATTGGGCGATAGTTGCCGATATTGTGCAGGTCACCCTTCTTGAACAATAACACGGCATTGCCGGTCTTCCACTGAGTAGGGACCTTGCATTCAGACAGCTAACGTGTGAAGAGCTGAGCCGCTGTGTTCACGACTACTGGTGGAAGGTTCTTCAGGTGTTCTGGTCTTATCCTGTCCGGACCTGGTGCAGTTCGATTTTTCACCGACGAAATGGCATGTCGGATTTCGGAACGGAGAACCGGTGGTACAATATCTCCGTCCTACTTTATTTCGTATGACGGAAGGTGGACGTGGCTATCCAAGAGATCTGAGTAGTATTCGTGAATGATTTTCTCCATTGCCTTTTTGGACGCTGTAACTGCTCCGTCTGGGCGCCGGAGTGGAATCATTTTGTTCATGTAATTGGCGAAGCTTCAGTGGGCTTTGCGAATGCTTTTCTCAGTCTCTGCAGGTTCGACCATTACTGCTGCTCTTCTCTCTTTAAGATCTTTTATCGCCTGTCTGCATTGTTTTGCAAGTTCGGGGGTTTGTTCGCAGTTGCTTGTTGCTCATGCGTTTCCCCGCTGCCGTTTCAGCTCGACTCTTTCTGGAGACAAACATCTTTTTGTGACCTTCGAACTCAGCTTTCATAGCGCTAACGTGAAGATGTTGAATGAGCTGATCGTATTCTTAGTCGATGTTATCGACAACGGCATCTTCCCATCAGCGGACTAATGTATTGAATAAGTTCTAGTTTGCGGTGGTTCTGAGACTTAGGTTTTGGAATTTAGGGCTTTTTCTCCTTTCCGCGAGAAATAGAATCTTACACGAAGGAGATGGTGGTTCGATCCCGCGTAGAATTTTGGGACAACAGTGACATCGGTAAGGCAAAACCTTCGATTTACTATGATGTAGTTTGTTTCGTGAAGGTACTCTGCACTGTGAGACTCACACGTCCAGCGTTGAGAATGGGGCTTCTGGAATTGCGAGTTATTATAATGAACACAGTCAGCCGCTCACCTTTCCTCCATTCTAGTGCGTAGGTTGCAATGTGATGTTCTTTAGATCTTCTTCTGGGTCCACTCTTAGCGTTAAAATCTCTGAAAATAACCGTAAAGAATGTGTGATCTTCTCTACATCCATATAGAGCGTTTTAACTTCGTCTTTGTCGTGGTACGATGTCAATCAGTAGACGAGGAAGATTGTCAAAGCTGGTGCTGATCCACATCTACCCAACCGTAAACGTCCGATTTGGATTGTTAGTTGTTCGAATGAATCGGTTTTCACGGACTCCTGCTAACGAGAACACCGACGCCGCCGATTTCTCCACTGTCGCATGTTCCGAGGAACAGTTCTTCTCCGGTGTCATAGACGGCGTTGAATGGCTGGCGTCGTCTCGTCTCGGCCAGGTCGATGACGTCGCACTTTATTTCTTCCTTGCATGAGCAAGTCTTCTATCGAGGATCCGGATGCAAGTGTACGTCTATTGCAGGAGGTTATCGCCTTAGTTATTTGCAATTCAGGCAGCTTCCATTGGCCCTGAGATTTTAGTAGCCTCTCCGCACTAGTCTTACCCAACGCTGCCGAATTGGCGACTGTTTCGGGATCAGGGGATTGAGGCTTGTTTCTTTTACTGTGTCTATCGGTTGATGCTCACGTTATAGTTTGCTCAGCTTTGAACGCGGGGTTCGGGTATACTCATGGGTGGCTTCGTCTTTCCCTGAAGAGGCGAAGACCTTATTTGTTGGAAGCGACTACTGAGCACCTCGGCTGAATTGACTCGTGGAATACAATTCGCATAAATGAGAACACCCACGCACGCATCCATAAGCATGCCTCGTAAATACAGAAAATATGTGCCAAGTAGGCCCAGAAAATTATTTAGACAATGATACAGCCGCTCCAGACTGCCGTGGCGACTGACAGCGTGAGATCCCTCTGTAAGGGACGTCCGTGGTATTAGAAGTAGAAAGTGTTAATGTTAGGTGTTAATGCTGAGAAAAGAGTGTTAAAAGTCTGAGACGCGAGCTTAACTGCTGAGAGAAGAGCGAAATGAATGTCCCGCATGGTGTGGTGGTGAACACGTTAGCTTCTGAGAAGGGTAATAGCGTGTGCGATCTCCACCGCAGGCAGCTGCAGTTCAGAGTTTTGCAAATATCTCAGCTTCATTGTAGTTATATTGCAAATCTTACCCTGCTATGAAAAAAGAATAGTTAGTATATAAAAGAGGTGGTTGTAATGTGAAAAGTAGATGATTGGAAGCTAGAGATTCTTCAGCACGGGTGGCAGTTCTTCATCGCATATGGTAGCTTCACGTGAGAAGAAGTATAAATGCCGAAAGTGTAGCAATACATTCATAACATCAGTTGCTCTGAAACTTCACACGAGTACTGCTCATAACACAGACGCTGGTGGCATATGCGAAAAGGTGAGAATCTGCGTCACTACTGAGATCAGTTTTAAGAAGTCGGATTGAAAATTCGTTAAGGTCTTTGGAGTACCGCTCAAAGGCTTCTTTTTCATCTGCCGTAATTGTTGTGCTGTGTTTGAGAGCCAACAGCAGTTCAAATCGCATCGGGTGAGCGACTATCTGGAAAATAGTCTGCAATGATAATTTTCATAATTTCATCAATATTTGAAATAATAGTGATAACCTATTTGCACCAGGTGTAAACTATCTCCTGTAATCGTGTTAATGAGCGATTAACTCACACGCCACTGGCCGGCTTCATTCGTCCTTATTGCTTCGAAGTGCACTTGGTTTCTTTTGGTATGCTTGAGGGACTCAGGAACTACCACCTTTTTGGGGCGCTTCGTTAAAAAATCTGCTCATATAGTAGGTTCACACTGTGTGCTACTGTGAGATTTAGTTTCTAACAACTCTTAGAAAGGACAGCGTGTTTGAACTGTAGTCATCGGCATAGCTTGGAAGTTTTCGTTCCCTTACTTGAAATAGAATACCAGCACCGTATCCTCGACAGTGCTTTATGTAACGTTGACTGGTCGTCTTTCTTGCTTACCTAGCGTAGGTTTTTAGGCATACGTTAAGGTTGGAATAATCATAGAGTCAGAAGTTCCATCGTTCATCATTTATAGCTGCCGACCCTTAACTGAGGTATTTCGAGTTGTGTTATATTGGGGCAAAATTTTTTACACATGTTTCGTTGGTATTTATGCCGAGCCGATAATGCAATATTTCATAGCAACGGTAGTGATGATCGTATAGCTGCAGGGAGCAGATTTCATTCGCATGCTATCTTATGGTGGTTTTTGAATGGTGTTTTTGAAAGAGACTGCAAATATTTTTGGCAAGGCGCTACCGCTTTGTTCTACAATATATTTGCGAGGATTGAGGAGATATGCTCTTTCTCAGATAAGCTAAACTACGTATCATCAAACGTGGTAATACTATTATATATTCCGCATATACATCAAGCTACATAGGAAGCGATTCGTACTCCGTCTCTAATAGTCCTCACATCTACTTTGGTGATTATTTGTGGATGTCTACTTCCTAAGAATGTAGAAAGCAGAGAGCTTTATATGTATGCCACTAGGCAGCTCTGGCGTGTGATGGGATCGAGTTGAAGATCTGTTGATGCTCGCAAACACTGTTACAGATGATGCATAGCACAGATTAATATTGAAGCGAATGTTGATTACGGCTAAATTGATAACAGCATTAACAATGGCAGTGGTAGTACTGGAGTTCATAATTTCAATGTTAAAAAGATAAAGCTTTCGGCGTTGATCAATCCCTGAGGGATCCGCCATGCATTCAACTTTACTGAGCATCATTTGGAGGCGACTGAATGCATATCTGGCCTTTGCAATGACTCGCAGTGGCCTAATGATGTACCGAGCCAGTGCTGCTAACCTCCCAGACAAGTCTGGTACCAATTTGCCGACCCCGGAGGGATCGAAGGCTGTAGGAAACTGGAGCGTAGTGATCGACCACGTGTGTATTGTACGGCGCCTCTGACTACTCATTGACACTAATTATCTTTGTTCATGTTGTTATTTGTATTCATTATGATTGACATCGGTGTTATAACAGTGTAACTTTCAATGTTTTTTTCATTGTCATGAGGTTTTATGTTGTTTTACATTTGCTTTCTGCTTGAATTCTCGTAAGGGAAAAAAAAGACTAATATGTTCAGGTTTCTCACGGTCCTACTGGTTCGATTTCATGTGGAGAATGTTCTGCAATTGCGTACAATACGCCACTTTATGAACACCATCGTAAAGCGCATGCTACCCCGGATAGGTTGTTTTACGGATGCAGTCAATGCAGCATTATGTTCCGTACGGTATGTTTTTGGTTGCGTTCGTTTTGTTTGTGTAAACAGTCATTCCTTTAATGGTCTAGATCACCAACTTAATGGGTTTCATCTATTTTTCCAGGACTCGCGTCTGATGTTTCATTTGCGTGAGGCCCACGGTGTTCCACTCTTTTTCTTCTGCAAAGCATGTCACCTGGGTGGTCCACATGAGCGTACGATTTACGCCCATGTTGCTGTTAAATCTCACAGATGTCGTCAGTTTGCCGAGCAGAAAAATTGGGTACGTTTAAGCGTGGTTGAAAATATAAGATGCATAGTTTTTCTCTGGTTCTTGCTGATTGTATCCATGGCATTTATATAACAGCACAACTTGTAAATATTTGATTTTAGAGTCACACTGCAACAATTGGAGTGTGTCCAATGAATGTCCTCCATTACCAGCCGAAGAATCCAGTATCTCATGAGTTGGTGCTACAACGGGGATCGGTATGTTGTCTTAATAGAGGTTTAGTGTTGTGTCGAGAATCCTAAATTTTTTAAACATATCATGTAGCCTTGAAATATAATGACGAAAGCGTTGAAGCTGGTTATTAGCAAGCTTTCGTATCAGTAGTTTCCCATAGTGTATACATTGTACGCATATATATATATATATATGTATATGGATATGTATACATATATATATGTATATATACATATACATATATGTGCGTACGTATGTACATATGTTTTACACATGTGTGTAGGTATGTATATACATACATATATGTATATATACGTATACGTATGTATATATGTATATATATTTATATGTACTCATTTTCTAATTACTATCTCGAATATATCTTTCTCATATCTATCGAATATATCTCATTATATCTATACGTATAATTATCTCACACTGTTATGATTAAATTAGATAAAAACCGTTTATTGCATATTATTCTGATTAGATTGATGTTGTCGTTCCATCCGAGTGTAGTCATCGCTCGTTTCTCGCTCCAACCGACTCACTGATTACGTGTAGAGATTGCTTTTGTACGGTTGGTTGTTTGTAGTTTTAAACTAATAAGTAATTAAGTTGCTTTCTATATGCTTATTCTTTTAAATCTTTGTTAGAGGAGTAATTTTTCCTGAAGAATCTCATTAATTGTCTAATGCTGTTAGTAATGAACAAGCTTGACTTTTAGATGACCGCATCCTCTTTCACTGCAGCGGAAGCGTGTAGAAACGCAGGAGTCCAAAAGGTTATTGCGACTTTTATTTTAATTGTTGTGTCAATGTGGTTAGATCCTATCTTATAGCTTGACGTTCTGTTAACTGATGTTTTTTTGAAGGAGCTGGCCATGACACTTGATAATGGAACAGAGTTTCCTTTCACTGGTATTTACGACCAGATTCCAAACGAAGGCTCATCGGTTGTGAGAGTTTTATTCTCATGAAATAACCCGAAATCTAGTTTTTAAGTGTTTTAAAAGGTTTAAGCCAAATGATAAATTGGCAGGTTTTTTTAAATTCAGGCTCCTAGTCGTGCTATCGCACCAAGACCGATATCAATGGATGCTCCTCCCTGTGTTGGCGGCCTTACTAATAGTATGAGAAATACGTCAGATACTTCTTGCTCTTCGACTTCATGGCTACCTGTGCGATCCCATCAACATTCATCTTCTAGTTCACAACAAATTGCTGCAGTGTCGTCACTGTCAAATGGTAGAGGTACAACTCCCCTCAAAGTAGGTATTCGAGGTTTCTCATGGTTCTTCTCAACAATTTTTTGAATTTCATTTCTACGCCCAATCGACTTAGATGTGTTTAGCGTCGTACACCTGCGATTAACTCAGATGTAATAACGTTGAGTGACGATGAACCTGGTCCATCAACTGCTAAGCGGCCACCTATGCAAGTATCTAGTGCAGTGTTAAAACATAAAACAGCGTCCGATAGTGACTTAAGATGCAGGGCATGTTTTCACTCCATTGTACTTGTTTAAGTTTTATTCTTGTTTATTTGTTACAAGACCATTACAGATATGTCGTACACTAATGCCAACACCTCAGATTCAGTCACTGCATGAATTGCATACGAACGGAATGGTAGATAGTGTTCTTAATATCTCTATAATATGTTATTAGTCGATATATAGTGAGCATATTTTGTCAGTTTTCTAACTGTATTCTTTGATTTCAGAAATGGTTTTGCCTAGACTGTGCGACTGCACATATGGACGAAATAGAGGCAGTGAAGCACTATTTCAGTGTACATGTGAAAGTTGCTGAACAAAAAGCTCTCGCGAAAGGTACTTGTTGCGTTTTCATTTTTAGTTGTGAGCATGGAGCAAATGTGTTTTAGGAATGTTGTTTCGACCAATTCATTACCAACTCCAATGTCCATTTCCGAAATGTCGTCTGCCATTAAGCACGCTTACGAATCTTCGACTTCATCTCAATAACAGACATAGAGCAGAGACGACTTCGTCTTCGACGTAAGTCTTTGGAAACTCGTTTGGAACTGTTGTTGTTTCTGGTATTAAGAGTACTTGTGTACCTATTATTTCGCATTGGAACATATTGTTTTTAGCTTCGAGATTTTACATTGAATTGAACTAATTGTGATATTTACTTTTTTCTTCATTAGCGATGCTAAATACATCACTTATGTCTTCCATATTCGTCTTATTTACCAAGCAACGCAAGGGACCACAGTGTAATCTCCATTTGTTTTCGTTATATTAGCTGCTTTGTTGCCGCTGTTTGTTTAAAATTCATAAAAGAGCATCACCTTTTTAGTAAAAAAAAATGCTTTATTTCCATTTTTTAGCGAGAAGCTGTCCCTAGAGGGATCGCTGAGGTGTGCCATATGGAAGTTTGTAGATTACACATCTCTTAACACATTCGCGACGGCTCCTGATTTGTTGTGATGCCCATTGGACCAAACTTATTTTTTTTTACTCAATTCTCTATGTCCTTTTTGGAGGGCAGCAATATCACTTGGTTTGAGAACTGCGACCTGTGTTCGTTGTATGAATGGGTCCTTGTCTTTGTTTGAAAGATTCTCTGCGCTTCGTTTATCCTATGTATGTTCCACTTCCTTCTCCACCGCATTCAATATCTTCGGTGCATGTACAGCTGTAGAATGTAACGAAGAAAAAAAAACTCGTCCACAATGCAAACATACTGCTCTCAGCATTTCATGAAGTTGTAGGTTCTGTAGAGAGTATTATGATATTCTTGTTTCAGTTTTGTTATCCACTCATTTTAAGTAATACACATAAGTCATCATTGCTAGTGAAAATTAGAAAACAACAAATTACTTGTCGAAAATGAAGCTCCACACTGCATGCGTTCTCAGTTCTTCGAGGCGGGTTCATCTTAGCGCCTCTTCACTGGCCACACTCTCTGTTGCACACACCTTCTTCAAAAGCAATAGTCTGTGGTCACAAAAGTGGGAAATTAATAGGAAGATACCGTCTCATGGACGACCTGCGGTTTTAGATCTTTGTTGACTAAACTATCAATTGATTGCAATAAGTATAGAAAAGAAGCTTCTGTACATCAAAATAAATCCCCGTTAAATAGTGACCTGTGCAGAAGTCATACCGGCCATTGTGTGCCACTTAATAATCTCCATAGAGATCGCATCGTCGCAAATGTGTTAAACGACCGCTTTTTTACGTGTTTGATGGCGCGACGATATTTAGACAAGAACAAAAAGCGCGTCGCTCATAAATTCCATATATTGTATCTTTGACAGTATTCAAGATTCTTAACCGCGTCCTAGTTAAGTATGACTGAAAATAGCAGATGTAGGGAAATTCCCAACTTTACGCATCATTTGATGTAAAATCGTGTATGATACGCACCACGTCGCGGTGGGATTGTGGAAGAGACTTTTTTCGTCACACACTGAGGACGGGTGTAGAGATATTGGATGTCTTAAATGCGCCAGGAATCTTGGACATTGAAGTGGTTATTCCATTTTTCAATTAGCTATTTCTGCAACCATTTGTCGCTGAATTCAAAATTCTAACTATCGTATAAGTCACTACTAAATATTACTTATGTTGTTTTAGTACATGTATGTTCCGGTTTTGTACGTCGTTTGCCAGAGCAAAACACGATGGGCAGCATGCGTCATATGAAAGGTTCTATTTTTTCACTTGTTTCTTAGTGATTTCTTATTGAAGCCGTAAACGTTGTGTAGCATTGTTGTGGAATATATAACATTGTAGATGAAAATATTTGCAGTATGAACGGCGTAGAAGGCAGTTGTTGTCCACTTTGTGGCACGTTGAATCAATATAATATTGAGGCCAGTTTGTTCTCCTTCATCTCCTTTCATTACCGTCGTGTTTCTTAAAAGTGCTCTAGTAGAACGTCGTTAATTAAACCTATGATGCTTATTACTGTCTCATTTCTGCATTTTTTTTGAAAACACGTTCTGACATATTTCAAATTAAAGTAACGTCCTAAAAGGTTATGTTTACGGTTGCAGCTGTAGATCGATCAGAATTGTTTGTATGAATCTGCTGATCTTCGAATTCAACAAACCGCTTTAGTTACTGGGAAATTATTAGCAGTTGTCGAGGAATCAATACAATCGTATCGTTATAGTTCGTTTTATAGCTTTCTGTAAATCTGTTTTGTCTTGGTTCGATCTGATCGAAATCTGACTGTTTATAAGTTGGTGGTATCCAAACTTTAAACATTTTTCCTTACCAGAGTACCAGAGACGAAATCATTTGGTAAAAATATGTGCATTTAGATTCCTGGAACGCCCTACACTATGACCCATATTGCCGTTCATGGCGTACGTCGTTACCATATGTGCCGCGATTGCTTTGTTTGCTTCAAAGGAGATTATGATGTAAGCACGTTATAACACCACTACTGTGTTAGCGTTAACTTCATGCAACAAGGAAACGTCGTCATGCGTAGTTAAAGTGACTCATTAATGTGGCTTTTGTTCATCACGAATAAGCGTAGATTACTTTAATGTGTTTATACATTAGTTTCGTGTGAATTTCAGTGTTCTCGCATGAAAGCTCACTTTGAGACAACGCACTGTACTCCGGTACCGAAGACAAGCCGAGAATTACTCTGCACATTATGCATTCAGCTGGTCATAAAATCGCAACTAACTGAGCATGTCATCGAGAAACACCTGGTATTTTTTAAAAATCAAATCACTAATACGTAGAGTAAGTTTCAGTTCATTATCGAACCATGATAGGAGCTGTGAAGTGTTCTCTTGGAGAACATTGTTTTCAGAAAGTTTTATATTTAAGTGTATACCTTACTTACAATCGTGTTCAAATTTGACGTGGTTTAGGTTACTGGCTTCAAATCAAGAGATCCCAGAAACGAGGGAAAGCTTATTGTGAAAACAGGTACCGCAACTCGTCGCTTCCTAGGTTTCGATCGAGTCCATTACGTTGATGATGACTCGGACATGGATTAGGTACCACCTATCTTCCTAATGCGCGTTGTTTCTTGTCATAATTTTGCATGTAAATGGTATTTTTGTTTCGGTTTTGTCGTTTTGCCGTTCTTCAGATTGTTACACGTGGTAGTTCATACTAACTTTAATTTTTTGAAGACTTTGTTATGTTGTTATTTTACTTCAACTAGTTTGTTTTGGATGTTGAAAATCACATTCTACAGGTATGAAATACCCCTTGTATAGGAGGGTGATTTCATTTGCAGTTATGGGTTTTTTGCAGCTCGCCAATCGCTATGATGTAAATTTAAGAAATTTTGAAGTTCATGTCTCTTTTACATATTGTATTGGCTACCGTGTTGTCATGTCTAAAGTGGTTTTCTTCATATCCTGTAATTGTTCCCTTTATCATAATTTTGTACGTTGATTTCAACGGGTGCTGACTCGTGTTTTCAAAGAGAACGTTTACAAAGGAAAAGTAAACTTGCTGAGTCCTCATAGCACAAGCAATGTTGCATGCAGCTATATTTATTTAAGTTTATTATTGCTTATGTATCTGTCGATTATTCCGTACCATCAGCGACGATTCGGTACATATGGAAGTTGTCCTAAATCTTATATCATCCTTGAATTGGAAGTCGTCAAGAAGGGTGGTGTTATCCGTACTGCTATTTTAATTTTAATCACTCGATGCACGTTACGTAGATACTTGGGTGACTGGTCTTCATATATCGTGTGTGCTACCCTTCATCCATTCGTTTCGTTGCCTGGCATTCACGATGGTGCTCGTGGTCGTATGTATTTAAGATGTTCTCCGGTTATCGCCACCAGCAGTTGACGGCTGTTATGAATAGGAGAGGAATTTGATGTACTGCCGAGTCGGATTATTCTGCGAGAATAGCTGTTGAAAACTAATGAAAGTAGCGAATTCTGTGATTAAAAGATGTGGCAAGCCGAACCCATAATACCCATCAACCACGATGAAGCATATCAGACGTAACAGTATATATCCAGATTGCACCATAACTTTTGGTGCTCTGCAAATCTATCTAGTCAGTGAATTTTATCGTCTTAAACAAGCATGACATACACGCGTGTAGCGCAGTGGTTGGAGACAGCCTGCAGTACGTACACACGGGATCGTTCCCGGCGTCCCAGACCCACCAGGTCTCCATCACTCCGCTGTAGCCAAATTGGTACCAAACTTCTATAGGAGAATAGCAGCACTGGTACGATACATCGGTAGGCCACCGCGAGTCATTTTGAAAAGGAGATGTATATTCAATCATCTCTCACGGTGCTACAAATGGGGTCGAATGCATGGTGCTTCCCGCAGAGATAAATCAACGCCAGGAGCTCTTTCATTTTTTGTAAACAAGTATGGCACTTATTTGCTGACCTCAGAAGGATAGGTGGTGTAATTATCGTGAGATGCAGTTCGAAGTACCGGTATGGTTATGCTATGGGACACCTTTAACCTCAGTGCTACACACACAGAAATCCAAAAAGAGGTAATTGTCCATATTCGCGTTGAGCAGTCATGAGGTGTTACTTTATTCTTTATTGTGGTAAAACTGATGTCTCGGCAGTGTCGCCTTCTTCAGAGCCTGGAAGGGTAATTTGATATGTAATTTACTACAACAATCGCTTCAATAACACAAACAGAAAGGTGAAAATCGAATTGACTCATGCCTGCCATTTAGGACGCAGAGTATGATTGTATAGAATGCACACCGCTATGCATTAGCAAGGCTTGCATTAACAGAATGCTTCCTACATATAGACAGTGACAGTTTGAACAAGCTAGCGGTCTAGCTTGATAATCCTATCAAGTGCCACTAGCCAATTTCCATCACTCATGAGTGCTGCAGAAAGAAAGAATTGTTGAGAGAATAGCTTAAGATGCACCTTTAGTTTACATAACACTCATAGAATCAGTTCAACAGGACATTGACAACGATAAGCGGAAATTTCTCTAAAACTCGTTTTGATTCATATATTACATTCGGATCAGACGGCGTTCTCAAGACCCTTGATCACTACCGCGATAGAAAGTTTATCTCTAACCTTACAGCCGCACAAAAATGTGGCAAGCGGGAAATTAGAGAATTAATAAACTCGAAAACAATAAGATTGTCTGTTAGTGATAAGGGGGGAGAGTTCGTAGTTATCTCTCGCCAGCTGGATGTTGAGATAACAGAGGAACATCTTAGTGATGCTACTCTCTATCGCCCATCCTCTGAAAAGGAATATAAAAGTCAATACCGAAAACTAAACAATCAATGGGTCAGCGTGGCAAAGGCTGCGGGTTTAAAATCATCGGTTATTTCGCACTTTAAAATCGATAGAC